CAATCAAAATCAAGAATCTATTCGTAGATCATTCTAGAATGCGATTTCCTAATTTGGTATATTCCCAGACTGTAATATTAATACTTTTATATATCTTTATTCATATAGGATTTTAAACCTCTTTGAAAACATTATCTCTTGTTGAGGTTTATTAACCTTTGTTCAGAGTATTAGCTACCCAAATATGCTATGAACTATACCAAAATAAGAAATATATAAAATATTGACAAAATTATATAATAACATATGATCCTAGCCAGTAGTTTCTCATCTGCATAATGCAGGCCAGCTGTAATCATGAAAATTTTGAAAAATTTAAAAATTCTATAGGCTGGGTGCAAATATAGCTAGCTACTTTTCTAGAGCTGCCATTGGGCTGCCTTGCTACTATTCACCTTTCTTTGCATGTTGCTAGTCTACAAAATTTATATAAACTATAAATGACAAGTATAGTCATAAAAAAATAATTAATTTTTTTATGACAAAAATGACTTGTTATATGACAAGTGTCATTTATTTTTAAATGACAATGTGCTATTACTGGATACAGCAGCTCATGTAGCAAAAGTATCAATAATACTATACATAGTAATTATAAACCAATAATCTAAAGTATATTGAGAATGCACAGAACATATAAACCAAAGCAATGATATTCAAAATAAAATGATGCAGTTTCCACAAACCACAAAGACATAGTTTAGACAGCACAGTAATTAACAGTATTATGAATAAAATGCTATTTAAAAACAAGTGACAATATTGTTAAGTATAAGAAGCATCTGCAGAATTAAACAAATCATCTAGATAACCCACTTTTATTAAGATAATATAGTGCAACTTACTGTAAAATTGTGTAGTTAGACATGGAAAGATATGAATAATCACTTACACATTAAATAAATCAATAATGATCAAAAATCTATGTATTAGTAATCTTGGGTAATCTATTATATGATAGATAGATACAAACATTCTCCTTTAAATATAAATAGATCATTATAGATTAATGTAAATGAATTATTAAAGAGTAACCAAGATAATGTAAACATTAAGAAAATGTGAAGTAATTCATTAAATGATGAATAAATATACAGAAAACATATATCTTACTATATAAAGTATTCTTTTCTCCATAGATCTGTATCATTTCGAGACATTTTATTTTATTGACAACAAATTTACAGATAAGTCTATTTTCAGACAATCAACTTTTAGACGAGTAAATTGTCTATAAAATGAACCATTAGCAAAATAAACTGTTTACAAAATAGTCTATTTGTAAATTGATTTTCTTAAAATAAACTTGTTTTGTTGGTGAAATGAGCTATAAGTAAGAAAAATTTTGTTTATAAAATGAACTGTTGTGAAACAATTTTCTATAAAATAGGATTTTCTATAAATTGATTATTCGTAAAATAAGACAAAGTGATGATTAAAAAATGAGCAGTACCAATTAATCAAAGATTAATATTTGAAATGCTTAAAAATTATAATTTATTGCTCAATTGAATTTTTATTACAAAGGAAAAAACATGAAAAATAGAATTGCCACCATATAGTACTTCAAAGAGGATTGTTATATTATGCTTGCTTCTTTCCGTCTGCTCATATACAAACAAATTATTGCTTGTAACCATTATCTTAACAGACACATATACTAAATAATTTTAAGAACATCTGATGGGTTTGGTGGGTAGGATTAAAAAACCCAGACAAATTTTGAACCAGTTAAATTCATATCATTTTGTTTGGGAAAACCCTATTCCCCTACAATGTTACAAAAAGGCATAAAGCAGACACAGTTTAATCATTTAACTATATTAACCATATACTGCAGCAGCAAAAAATGCTTATACAAGTTAACCATTAATCAAGTGGCCATTAGTTACTGTGATACGATCATAAAGCAAAATCTATGTAATATAGTTACTGAGTTGCTACAAATAAGATCCTTGCTGCTAAGCAGTCATGGAGCCTTATATCTATTAATACCTATCAGCATAAGACACTTATTTAAATTAAAACTTTAATCGGTGGTCATTGCACAATCATACTAAGCAGCTTTATATATATATTCATTAAGGTCCTTGCACTGCTATGCAGCCGTAGAGCCTTACAACTACCAATGCCCATCAGCATATGGGGGGGCCCCACAGCAAAAGGTGGTGATAGGCAAAAAAAAAATTTTTTTATAAAAACTTTATTTTTGCAAAAATTAGATCATTTAGAACACAATATTAAAAAACTACAGAAAAAAAATTTTTGGCCCATCACCACCTTTTGCTGTGGGGCCCCCCATATGTTTAAACCATTAATTGGTGGTCATTGAGCTGCTTTCAATCACTGAGCTGCTTTCATACTAAGAAAACTCTAATTCATAACATTATTGGGCTGCAATTAAGGTCTTTGCACTGCTACGCAGCTGTGGATCCTTACTTCTATTAATGCCTACTGGCATAAGATACTTATACAAGACAGACTCTGTATTCTATATCATGCACTGCTATGCAGCCGTAAAGCTTTACATCTACCAATGCCCATCGCATGTTTTAGCCATTGCTTGTGGTCATTGAGCTGCTTTCAATCACTGAGTTGCTTTCACACTAAGAATACTCTAATTCATAAAGTCATTGGCTGCAATTAAGGTCCTTGCACTGCTACGTAGCTGTGAAGCCTTACATTTATTAATGTCTACCGGCATAAGATATTTATACAAGGCAAACTCTGTGTTCTATATTCATTAAGGTCCTTGTACTGCTATGCAGCCATAGAGCCTTACATCTACCAATGTCCATCGCATGTTTTAGCCATTGATCAGTGGTCATTAAGCTGCTTTCATACTAAGAAAACTCTAATTCATAAAGTCATTGGGATGCAATTAAGATCCTTGCACTGCTACACAGCCATGAAGCCTTACTTCTATTAATATCTACCAGCATAAGATACTTACACAAGGCAGACTATATGTTCGATATTTATTAAGATCCTTGCACTGCTATGCAGCCATAGAGCCTTATATCTACCAATACCCATCGCATGTTTTAGCTATTGATTGGTAGTCATTGAGCCACTTTCAATCACTGAGATGCTTTTATACTAAGAAAACTCCAATTAATAAAGTCATTGGGATGCAATTAAGGTTCTTGCACTGCTACGCATCCGTGGAGCCTTCTATTAATGCCCATCGGCATAAGATACTTACACAAGGCAGACTCTGTATTCTATATTCATTAAGGTCCTTGCACTGCTATGCAGCCAGTAGAACCTTACATCTACCGCTACCAATGCCCATCGGCATCATATGCTTTAGCCATTGATCGATGATCATCGAGCTGCTTTCAGTCACTGAGCCACGATCATAGCAAATTCTAATTCATAAGTCATTAGGCTGCAATTAAGGTCATTGTACTGCTATGCAGCCGTGGAACCTTACATCTATTAATGCCTATCGGCATAATATACTTACACTAAGCAGACTCTATGTCATATTTTCATTAAGATTCTTGCACTGCTATGCAGCTATAGAATCTTATATCTACTAATGCCTATCGGCATAAGTGCTTAAACCATTGAATGAGTGGTCATTGTACTGCTTTCAGTCACTGAGCCACGATCATGCTAAGCAAACTCTAATTATTGCTACAGAGCTAATTAGGGATATTAAATTGTGAATCCAGTCTGGTCCGATCCTAGGATCTGCTAGGACGGTCCTGGATCTAGATCCTTGACATAATGATAAATTGATCCCAGAACCCAGTCCTGAATTGCAATCTCTCAAATAAGTCTCAACCAATCATATTGATACTTTCGTTAAACAAAAAAAATTTTATTACAAGATAAAGAAAAAGAAAATATATATAAAAAACTAAAATTTATATAAAAAAAAAAAATTATAGAATTTTATCATTTAGTGCGGATGCTCTGTGACGCACCCCATAAGATCTGGTGTAACGTGAAATCAAAACAAACCAATAACGCATTAATTTAGGGTAAGGATTAGCACTAATATAAGGCTAGATTAGATTGTAATAAATATTAGTTATACCCAAAATTTTGCAAGGAATTTTTTTTGTTAGAACACAAAAAGTGGTTTCATAAGCAAAATTATGAGTTACAAGCGATTTTTTCAAAATAGCACTATTTTTTTCAATTTCATGTTACACCTGATCTTACGATCTGATTGGTCGATCAGGTGGGTGCGTTACAACACACATGCGCTAAATTATATAAACCAAAATTATATATATAAAACGAAAATTTATATATATATATAAAAAAAATTTTTTATATAAAAAAAATTTTTCATATAAAAAAAAAATATATATAAGACCAAAAAAACTGCTAATTTACTTGATTTTTTAGAGACCCGGTTCACTTACCTCTTTTAACATATCACCTAATTCCGTGAACCAGCTTTTCAAACATAAGGATGCGCGTGCGACTTCGGGATTTATTCGATTTCGGGTAAGACTGATTGTGTTCCTTGCGATAGAGAAAGCTTGCTCACTTGATATGCTCGTAAACTAAACTGCAAAAAAGTCCATCGCAATGCATGCAAGTACTGGGAATTGATTTGAGTTCGCCTTTCACCAAAGAAGTGGATCTGCTTCAGTCTCTGGCTCAGAGAAGTATTTCTCAATTTCACACCGATTTAGGTTAGATTGATGACACTTTGTGAGATTTCGAAAAAATCTTCGTGTTGATTTAGTAGCAGTGGTAGGTGGTAATGGTTTTTTTTCTTCGGGTGGTTTGTATATTTGGTACACTTCATGGAGTTTATTAATAGTTTGTTCACGTTCAGTAATATTATAGGTAGAAAGTTTTTACAGGGATCAAGAAGGCCTGAAATTGCTGACGATTCATTTAGGTGAGCCCAATATGATATAAATTGTACTTTCATCGCATTAGCTACAGCATGTTGTGTATTGATCACTGGGTTTTTATTATTATTTAAATGTATAATAAGACCACGGAATATCAAGCGCAGGTCACCTTGAGTTGGAAGTGTTGGCGAAGACAGTATTACAGTTGCATGATACATAGGTTCAAGAAAAGCTAACAGGTCCTGTAATTTGCAATAATAGTATTAAAATCTTTTAAAACAATAGAAAATTATTTAACTAACCATAATAATTTCCTATTCTTGTTCATCAAGATAATTCGGTTTTAACATTTGGTTGCTTACAACAAGAATATCGATCATAGGGCGAATTTGTTGAAGTTTTTCTAATAAAATATATATGCTATTCTATCTGGTATCTACATCAGCTTGAGGCATTAAAAATGGTTGATTTTTTATTTCAAATATTTGGTTTAATTCTCTGATTAGCGACAGAGAGTTTCGAAGCCTAATAGAAAACTCCTGCGCTTTAGAAATTTCTTTACTGACTGACTTAATTCCTTCTTCAACAATGATATTTAGAATATGTGTGCCACAGTGAAAATGCTGCACATTAATATTACTAAATTCATTATGCATTCTTTCTTTTAGAACACGACCCATAGCAATCATATTGGAAGCGTTGTCTGTCGTTACTCCTAAAAGCTTATGGTCTATATTCATTTTTGTTAAAAGTTCAATTATCGCATCAGTTTGGTTGACCGCAGTGTGTGTTTGATTGAAAAGAATAATGTCTAATAAAATACGATGCATTTTCTACTCAGGATCTACCCAATGAGCAGTTACACCAAGGTAGGGTTGTTGTATGCAGGATGTCCAGCTGTCCATAGTAATTGAAATTTTTGATGGAACGTTGTTAAAAAAAGTGATAATTTATTTTTACTATTAATATACTCTTGACTGACCCAAGTTGAGATTGTTTGATGACATGGGGTTTTGTATCTCAGATCAAGTTCGTGTAAAAAATTAATAAATTCAGTATTTTCGGCCAACAAAAATGACTGTTGGTCAACGACTACCCAAGTTTATTATTTATTGTATCTATTTTATATTTGTCATTTGGGCTATAAGGGTCAAGTCGTCGAAGTTTACGCTGTTTAATTTTAGTAAACTCTGCAGGATAGAAGTTTTGAAAATGCTAATTAATAGTCGATATT